CTTCGGCTGGCGGTTGAACTGACAGGCGATCGGAGTGCTCCGCTTCGAAGGCCGATTTGCATAAATCGCTGACACTGTATCGCAGGTATCCGTTGTCAATGTCTTTTTTGCGGTTGTTTGTCAGGCATAGGGAGAGTTGGGCAGGAAAAAGAGCTTGGTCTGTGTCCATAGATGTTAATCAGTAAGAGCGGCAGTCTTGAATTTACCCTTTCCTGCGGTAACTGATGATGATGTGATCGATTTGGGTCCAGCGCTGTGAAAACGTTAGCGGTTTCCAAGTAAGGCATTGCCTTTTCTTATGCGAGAGGTTGTTGCTTGATAGGAACAATCCATGGTCAGCGCAGAGTTAAGGTAGGCGATCTCCGTTGTCCTTCCGGTTGGCTGGGATTGCCTGTGGACCGCCAAGAAGCCCTTCTGGTTCGCACAGGGATCCCACTTGAGCATTGAAGTCTCCGGCCACTACTATGACGTATGTTGATCAAGCACTTTGGAGTAGTTGAGAAAGATCCTGGTAAAATTCATCCTAGCTTTCAGGTATACTGCAACCGAGCCGAAGAATAAACATCGACGCTTCATTCTGTAGCTGTTGACTCAAACTGAACCGTTGAGAAGTGCAGCGCACAGTCGGCTACTGACTGGAATCCAGTCAAAAAGCGAGCGCTGAGCCCCTGGCATTTACCGCAATCCCGACACCAGCAACATCGCGAGCGTCGCCTGACAGAACGCCTGACACGAAGGGTGAATGGTGAGGCTGAGATTGGACAATGAGATCGCAGGTAAATGATTGAGGTGTGGTCTTGTATGCGGGTTCCGAAGACAGAACATTCGTCGAAATTGAATGTTTCCAGGGTTCTAGTTAAAGCCACGCCTAACCCAGCGAGGCCTCATGTGGTTTGCCACTCCAAGTCTCGGTGCTTGGGTTGCCGATTTTCATCACTGAACAGTAGATCCTCGTGACTACGGACTTCCCCGTCTGCTGTTCATCACACTAGGGTGTATAATTATAAATGCAGTTTTTTAACCGGTCTGGTCGACTGTGGACTTTAAGGTATGACTTACTTCACGGCTGCCCTCACCGACGAAGAGGTTTTTCTTTGGGATCCCTAACTGGAGCCTTCGCCTCGCAAGTCTAATCCACAAAGCAGTGGGGCGTGGATCCAGCACGGGAGCGTGACCGAAGCACTAGTATGCGAACTTCTAGAGACCTTTCACGCGAGGCCTTCGGGTTTCGGTTCAGTGTGTTGTTCGCTGGTGCATTGATTGTGGATCTGCTGTCCGGGATTGGTCCCTAATCTCATGCACCTAATGAGACAGGCGGAACGTTGGCAGAATAGCACCTTATCGGTGGGCCCTGCTCAGCTTAGTCGGGTGGTAGCTGTCCAATTAATTGTGAAGACTTCCCCAACCGTTGAGAGGAAACCCCAAGCACCCCACTCTTACGTTCATCTAACGGTTTCTTTTACAGTTCATTTGCTGGAGTGGTCTCTCCAGGGGTGCACGTCGATAGTCAAAGGGAGCTATGTGGTGCCCAAATATCTGGTCTCGTGAGAATGAGCTTCGTCTGGCCCCTACCCATTAACCTTTCAGGCATGATTAGATCTGCAGCTGTGAAAGGTCGTGCTGTGTGTCATTAAGTCATGGAGGCATGCAGTCCGCGACACCACGTCAAGGTTCAGTCTCGGCGTGATCGTTATTGTGCATTGAAAATTGATATAATCAGTGCCGGGAGTCAGGGAACACTCTAGGATATCATGACCACTGGGAAGTCATCAACCCAGCAGAAGGTAGAACTATGGATCTCCCAGATAGAAGGCTAGCGTACTATTCACTCCGTCGGTTGCTGGAATGGAGCAGCTTTTTTAATAACACATCTTAGTGTGATGAACAACAGACGGGGAAAGTCCCGTAATCGTGAGGACCTGCTGTTCAATGATGGAAATCGGTAACCTAAGCCCTGGGACTTGGATTGGTGAACCACATAAGACCCCATTAGGTTAGGCGTGGTATTAAACCGGACGATAGCAAAGCTACCTATCGCCAAAGTTGGGGGGGGGGAGGGGGGTAGCTGAACCTCGGACCATAAGGTCGAAGCACTTCAGCGACAGCGACTCTACCACTGTCCCACCACTACTGTTTCACACTATCCTCCACCCGTTCGACACAAGTCTTGTCAGGGTATCAAGGCGAGGAGACAAATTTCGGGTTTCTCGTGCAGAACATACCAGCGCTCTGGAACTCTCCGCAGCATCAATTCAGAACACCACGGCGTTGTTTAAGACGGTAGTGCAAAGGCATTTGAACTTTTTACCCTTAATAATCGTAGAGTGTAGAGTGACCATTCGCGGTAGTTGTGGTCTACCAACACCAGTTTTTTTTACTCCGAGCAGATGCTACTTGTTGATCAAGTTTTATTTGCTGAATTATGAGTGCATTAAGTACTCCTCTCCTACGTCCATCTAGCGGCGGAATTTGGCCTGGTAAAGTTCCCCTCACCGTGTTTATTTGCTGGATTGGCCTCTCCAGGGGCGGGTGCGGATAGAAGGAAGGAAGCCAGGAGGTGCTCAAGCAGCTGACTTTGTGAGACAGCTTTGTTTGGCCTCTACCCGTTGACCTTTCAGGTATGATTGTATCTACGGCTGTGAGAAACCATCCTGTGTAGCTCGCAGGGTCATTGAGGGGAGCAAGCCATCACACCGCGTCAAGGTGCAGTCTCGTTCTGATGGGCTGGGTAGGTCGTTCGTAACTAGCAGCGGTGTTCATCAAGAGTGCCCTCTTACATCATTCCTGTTCGATTTCGTCAAGGACGAGATACTAAAGAACACGCTAAGTGATCTCCAAAATGTTGATACTAGCTGGGTAGCTCTAGAAAAACCGTGTGATTTAAAGTACGCCGACGATCTCTTGTCAGTCCGAATCGGTGAAAGATGCGCACAGCGCAATCGACAGGCCAACAAGTTCTGTTCGGTATGCGATCTGCACCTTCAAAGTGCAAAGTAATGCTGCCAAATTGCTATCTATTCCTGCTTTGATGTTTGCCGTCCAGTAATTATTCATAGGAAATTAATTCTCCTATTTAGATAATTGCATAACAATTGGCGATAACACAGTAACGGAGGTAACTACACAAATTTTTAGCCCTGGAACAGCGTAAACAGAAATGAAAATGGAACTGACGTGATGTTTCCTTGAAACTGCAAGGATCTCGTATACCGCGCCACTGTACGGTTTATTCTGCTTTATATTTGTCACAACCTAAATTTGCGCGTGGAAGATAATCATCGTCTAGAAGTTTTCTGCTAACGATTTTTGTGTAGTTTGATGCAGGTTGGATGAAGCGAACATGTTAGTAACTCTGAGGTAAGCCGTCGAAAGCCTTAGTATGGTCGGGGTGGGTGTCTAGGATTGTGACTGATCACCAGTCCCTTACACCTTGCGAAATGCTCCCATATGACCAAGCGTCTAAAATAGCCTTTGCTGAGGAAGCCCTACTCACTGCCTTCTCGTGACGGAGGTGTTTCCCACCAAAGTGAGAGGACGCAAAGTCGACATCCGGGGCTATAACCGGGTTGGTGAACCATTGGCAGTTCACCTAGTGGAGTTGGCTAAAAACCCTGATTCCAAACCAACGAAGAAGAGGCGTATGAACCACGTGCAGACCTTCCTGGTTGCGGCAGTGGTCACCGGCTCGATNGGGCCTCGAGATGTATTGGGTACCTTGGACGTTTGACCCTGTCCAAAGGGTGTATGATCTGATGAATTGGACACCGGCCCCTAATGGACTGCAGACTCTGAACTCCGTCCTGTTGCCTTGCAGGTCTGGCTTTCTAGCCAAATGCTTCGGGTAGGGACCCCGAGGTTATCCTGCTTCCTCGGCCAGGGCAACCGGGAAGTAACATGCCCACATAACCTATGAATACATTCTTCAGTTTTCTTTGTGTTCATATGTTGTGGCACATTTGCCAGTCCTTTTAAATGGTTACGTGTTGAAATATTAATAATAATAATTTTCTATGGAATTCGTTATCAGACTGGTCGTGACCCAGTGGTAACGTCATTAAATTATCACCCCGTAGGACATGTATTCGAATCGCACCCCCACCGCCTGGATTTCCTCATTTGTGTGTTGAATGGCAGCCCTTTGATTGGCCGCTTCCCTCTTCCTGAAAGTCGTATCACAAGATATTCAATGAAATGAAGTAAAAATGGAAAAGAAAGAAATCGAATTCAATTAAGATTGGTCAGCTTCGGTGGTTGGGGCATGTATTGCGTGCGCCTGCTCAGCTGTTGTCTACCGCCCCGCGTCTTGTTCGCTGTTGCTGCTCCAGGTTCTGAGGGAATCACGTGGAGGTCAACAGATGACGTGGAAACGTGGTATGAAGAAATGTGCAGAGCGATTAGGTGGATTAGGTGTTTGTTGTCTTTTAGTNTCCAAAGACGACAACTAGTTAATTAGAGACGCCAAAGGATGTAGCAACGAACCCACAGCAGTGGTGTTCTTGATGTCACTTTTTATCAGACCAGAATGCTTGAAATAGGTTAGATTGTGTCTTAACCGTTGAGGTTCAGTTTCTCCCTCTCCTCCCTGAAAAATGTGCTCAATCCCTGTCCACCTTACACATTATCCTTCACTTTACGTGCATCGAGTTTGACAGCGACCACTGGCGTTCTCACTGTATTTCGCTGTACTATGATGATATTTCCATTACACAGTGGTCATTCGTTTCTATCGGCTTAGCGCCTCCTGTCGTGCAGTCGAAACGAACGGAGGTCATTGAAATCTTGAGCCGGCTAACATACCGATAGTGGAATTGGGAGTAGTAAAAAACGCTCTCTAACAAGTTTATTGTTTTCCAAGCGTTTTTATCTAATATGCTGCGCACCGTCTGGAATAATTCACTTGGCGCTCTGCTCCACCCTCTACCGTTATTTTGAGATGACAACTCAGCAGTTGCTTTTATTCAGGTAATTATATTTGCTTATGTACCTCTGATGGTCACAGTATGGGTGATGTTCGTTCTTAAACTTTCTCCACTCATCTGTTTTATTCCAGGTGGTCGTATCGACAAATATCGCGGAAACGTCATTGACCATTGACGGTGTGGTTTTTGTGATTGATCCGGGGTTCGCTAAACAAAAGGTGTATAATCCACGCATCCGGGTAGAATCTTTACTAGTCACCGCAATCAGCAAAGCATCCGCACAACAGCGTGCTGGTCGTGCCGGTCGAACGAAGCCGGGCAAGTGTTTCCGTCTCTACACAGAAAAGGCCTATGCGACAGAGATGCAAGAGAACACCTATCCGGAAATTTTGCGATCTAATCTGGGTACTGTTGTGCTTCAGATGAAGAAACTTGGTATCGATGACTTGGTTCATTTCGATTTCATGGATCCACCAGGTTCGTTCCCGTTGAGAGTTTCTGAGTTTACCCCACCATCGTGATTCACCATCAGTTTTGGCTCGAAAACCGTATATCAGCAACGGAGTTGAATAAAAGACCTCCATCGGTAAACCATATCGATCAAAGTTAGATATTCTTTCTATCAAGAATGATGAAACTTTGGGGATAACCACATAATTAATTTACTGTTTGTATCGCAGCCGAATTTTAACAAGGGTCTGCATTCATTTAATCCCATTTTAAATTCGATCAGCAGAGAATATCCACTCCAATCGTATGTAGGTGGTTACCAGCTCGATTTCGACCCAGGGAACGCTAATATACATAGGAATTTGCGGCAAATTTTAATTTGTAATTGCTGTCACACAGATGATTGTGGATAGTTCTTGATCTAGTTTATCCTACGTGTTATTTCCGGCGTCAGCTATTCAAAAATTTGTAGTCTCAGTTTGCAATAAATTGTTAAATGTTACGGCAAGTATGATAAGAAAGTCAGATCTTGCGTAGCTGTTGCCTACGTGAATTAACTGAATTGTAAATCACAAGAAAGAGCATTTATTTGGTTTTGTTTACGTACTTAACGCTTGATTAAATCTCGTTGTACTGAGTCGTCGCTATATCTAGTGCTCAGCCCCCCTCCTGAAGAAAGGAATCAAGGAACATTCATTTCTGTTTAACCATAAGGTATCGATGAATCACATTTAGTTCTTATCCCTAGATGTGTACATTCTGGGATGAATTTTTATCGTGGAAGTCACATTTAGAACTTACGGTATGCTTATTCCCGTCATTTTTGTTTCGCCGTATTTGTCCATTAGTCCATTTCTTTTCAGTAGCAAAGAATAGAAACAAATAAATAATGCATCCAGTTCAGTTTGTGCACTCAACCATGCATTTTCGTGCACCGGTCGACCACTTGCTAAAGTGGGGGACCCAATACTCGGTGCCTAACCTCAGCTCTTGTGGTCGTCCACCAAATTCATGCGGTGCTGCGTAGACAGCGATGTTCAAACACAGAGTTTACCTTTATCCTGTTTTCTTAATGGCCAAGTTTCTGCGCTATATAGCAGCACTGGCCGAACTGCCGCAGCACTCGGTTAACCCTTCACGGCCGTCCGGATGCTACGACGGCGCCCCTGATATCTCACGTTTGGCAATGCTGATCGAGTCTTCTGTAGGTGAACTGACGCTTCATCCGGGATGCGTCCACGGGATGAGATATCGCTGCCCAAATACCAAAACTCGTTCACTTGGCCTATTACTTCCCACACTCTTCAGGGAAAAACAGCGCCAGATTTAAGATCGGTCGACTGATGTGAAGGCCGATCTATCTTTCGTTCAAGGAAGGTAGAAATCGTGGGTCTATAAAAGGAATATCTGTGCTCTTGAATTGGGCGAAGAGTGAAGTTGTGGTTGATGCAAACTAGGCCAATTCTGAAACTAGCCTGGTTCTCACGCGTACACCGTTCACGTGCGGCAGACAATCGGCGGAGTATGATGCCAGCTTGAAGTTTAGAGATGTTGATGAAACTGATTCCTCTATAGTTTTCACAAGAGGATGTATCACCTTTCTTGTAAATCGATATGATCACCGATTCGCATCATTCAGCTGGAGCCTGTTCCCTATTCCACACTGAGCCCAGGAGTTTCGTTAACTCCGAAACCAATGTTAAGCCTCCATCCTTAAAAACCGATAGAGACAGCCCATCCGGGCCGGTGACCTTACACTTTTTGGGATATATGTTTCTCGGAAAACCTCCATTTCCGATGGAGGACTAGCATCAACTGGGAGTATTTGCCCAGTCGAGGTGGGGGTGGTAGGTCAGATGTGGAAGCCAGTTGAACTGAGCTTCGAAATGTTCGGCCCATCGAGCAAATTGTGGGGCGTTTTTCTTTTTATGAAGATTATTGTAGCATTATTTGTTTGGCATATAGTCTGGCCTCAGACGGCTGTGATATATATATATATATATATATATATATATATATATATAT